GGCAGGAATGGGACCAGTAGGAGGAGCACAGCCAGTCCAGGGTAACTCACAGGGAAGGAGTCCCAGAATTGACACCCCAGTCACTGTCCTCCCTCCTTTACGTTCCTGCTCTATTCTAGCCAGAAGGTGCTGGAGTCAAGGGATGTTTCCCATTGAGTGCCCCCCGGGAAGAAGTCCAGGCAGAGGGGCACAGCAGGAATGAGGCAGGCATAAGTTGCCAGAGCCCATATCTCACCTGTTCCGCGGGGACACTGCCACTCACTGCAAGTTCTGAATGCCCTGATGTGGTAGGATCTGGACAAGGCACACTATACCCAGAGGGCTGCTCCAAGTGACCTTGGTGGTGTCACAAGAAGAATACCAGGAGGGGCATGTATGTTCCCTTGGGAACACTGGCCCTTCCTTGGCTGCTAGGGAGAGTGGGACAAGAGCAGGCTGGGGCATCCCCATGACACTGTCACTCAGGAGCTGAGGTTCAGAATGCTACTGTGCGTTTCCAGGGTGCTAGGGCAGGCCCAATCCCTCAAACCCAGCACTTGGAACACAGGAGCTGGGGGAAGCTGGCTCAAGACCCTACACCCAGACAGAGGAGCCAGCCCTGGGCTCCTGTGTCCCTAGACTGGACACAGTCCCAGGCCCTTCCTGCCTGAGCTCCTTGCCAACAGGTGGCTGTGGGCAGCAGTTTTATGTTAGTGATTATTTTCTGGATTTGTTTTTTTCTTTTAATTAAGCTGAGCTCTGTAACAGGCGGTCAAGCCCCCAGTCACCAGGGCATCTTAGGAAGCAGGTGCTGGTGGACCAAGATTCTGCATTTCTCACTCCCGGGCTCTGCTGCTGCTGTGGGTCCTTGTCCGCTCTTGGAGCAGGAAAGTCTATGGCCTTCAGTTCTTGTCTTGCTTTACTGTCACTTCTAGCTTTTTTCTGGAGTCTCATAGACCTACCTATGACTCAGTTCCCTTACGACATTCAAAGCGTACACAGTTCTGACAACAGCATGCAATAAGTATCTTTTTTTTTTTTTTGCTCTTTAAGATATATATGCATTTTTTTAAAGCCCAAGCCTTCATCTCTGTTAACCTTGTGCTGGCCATTTTGCTCCATACTGCCCCTCGGTAAGTGACTGGAACTTTCTAGGCTGCACAGGTCCGGGGTGGGGTCTCCTTGGCTGCTCATTGGATCACAGCAGTGCTTTAGAAAATGCAGTTTCTCCCAAGTCCCGCCCCCCAACCTTCTGAGTCAGAATCAAGCCTGATTTTGAAGCCTCTGCTTGCAAAAAGCTCCACAGGAAATTCTGGTAATTGGCCAGACTTAGGAACTACTAATGGGCTATGCATTCAAAACCTTGTACTGTGAAAGCCTTCCATTGAAACAGTTTAGAACTTAATTGGTTCTGAACTAAAACAACCAGAGGAAAGTTTAAAAAAAAAAAAGCCAGTTCCTCTGGAGATGAGCATCTAGGGTCTACAGTGGTCCTGAGCAGCAGACGCGATTGGCTGAGCTTTGGAGAAAAGCACTTAATTATGTTTTTGACTCTAAAATTGGCGTGGCCAGATAATTCATTTTGACGTTGAGCACCTAATTCAAATCATTAAGTATGCAGTGAAATCGTTTTTCATCACTGGCTGTGTGCGCTATGAAGTCACTAAAGTTATCTTTTCTCTGCTTAGTCTTTTCAAGGTTAGGAGTAAACTTTTCTGGCCCAAGTCTGCGTTTCCTCCAGGGTGTGCCTGGGCTTTGATGTGTGCTGATCATAAACACACGATGCCGTGAGCATCTTCCTCTGGCACTGGGCAGCTGGCTCCCAGTGGGTGAGCTTGTCCTTTTGCCCTGCGGGGGCGCTTCTCCTGGCACTTGCCTGGGTGTCTTGTCTTCAGAGACTGTTTGAGGGCCGTGCGTCTTTGAGATTGTTTCATGAGTGACCATCATCTGCAATGTCAAGTTCCTTTTCCTGGCTCTGTCACGTGCCATCAAGGTGTGCGTCACCCTTTTATTCCTCACAGTCATTTGCTGTGTGATCTTCCATTTGCCCTGCAGGCAGGATGACAGTGGCGTTCAGCGGTCAGGTACACGTATGCCAGTGTGTGGCCCTGTAGACTAGCTCGGGCTGGCTTCTGTGGTCTGCAGTCCGCCGTGGTGTTCACCCGACTTGTTTATTCCTAGGGAATGTCACTAGTGCGTCTGGGTCTCAGATGGCAAGCGGCATCAGCCTGGTCTCCTTCAACAGCCGACCCGACGGCATGCACCAGCGCTCCTACTCAGTCTCCAGTGCGGACCAGTGGAGTGAGGCTACGGTCATTGCAAACTCGGCCATCAGCAGTGGTAAGAGGGGGAGCAGCCCCATGGACCGCGGCCACCTCCAGGTCCTCCGTGTCAGCCAGGGCATGACACCCAAGCTGTCTATGCTCCATTTGGAGCATGGGACCCCAAGGGGCTGCTGCAACAGCGGTGTGCATCTCGCCTGTCCTCTGTGGAGTGTTGCGTCCTTGATAGGCTATCTCCCCTGAATTGCATCATTTCATTTGTTCCTCTCTGATCAGGGAGTAGGTGTTCATCCCCATTGGACAGATTTGGAAACTGAGGCTTCAGATGAAACAGGTGGCCTACCCATGGTCATGTGATAGGGAGATGATGGAGCTGAGAAATAATGTCACATGCCATGTCTCCAGGCACACTGCCCTACGTGGCACAGCCTGCATTCCACCATGATGCACATTTTATGTTGTTCAGCTTAGTCAGTACTCCAGGATTCCTGGTTCGCCCTCTAAATTCTACGGAGTCCCCTCTTAGACTTCCACGGTTTTTACAAGTGTAGCCTGCCTCTTGCGGACAGATGTGCATATTGGAAGCCGTCTTGACGTGTGTGCGACAACATGAATTATGCAGTGCTCGGGGTACACTGGCTGGTGCAGCATGTTTTGCCTGTGGCATTTTGTCTATGGCCTGTTCACCGGTATTTAAGGGAATTCCCACTGTTGTAAGTAATCTATCAGACAGGGTTTTAGAGTAATTTTAGCATAATTTGTTCTAATTAAAAGATTCAGCATCAGGTCTTCCCTATAGACCCACCAGCTGCTACGGCAGGACGTTTGCTTTGGGTAAACACCATCCTTATTTCTACTTGCTCCACTCGGCTCTGGCAGACACGGCCACACAAAGGCCGTGTCTTCAGAGGAAGACATCTCCAAAGCAAGAGAGGAGGAGGAGTGGAGTCAGGGAAGGCAGCTCCAAAGGATGTCACAGCAAAAGCTGGGGACTTGGAGCCGGAGCAGAGCATAGCCTGGTGCCCCAGGCCCAGAGTGCACCCACTTTCAACCCAAGGCTCCTTCCACGCTCCAGAAAAGACACTTTGATAGATAGCAAATGCCTGCTGTCTGTCTCTGCCAGGACCCTTCCAGCTTGCTGCCTTTCATCTAGAGTGAAGGTGATAAACTTGACCCTCACTAGAGAGAGTTTGCATCATTGTAAGCTAACCACCTGCCATGCATTCCCTTCCTGATCGATGTGTGCTGGTAGGCCTGATGGTATGCCTCTCTCCAGACACAGGCCTGCCTCAGCCACCGCAGCCTCTAGCAGGCACCTGACCTCTGGGAGCCTCTGCCTTCTCATCTGTTCCATAGACACACATGCTGCCCTGCTCCCCTTTTGTAGTCACTAGGCATGAGGCACAACACATGGCTTCTGTGACTGAATAGCTGCCATTTTTACCACAGTTACTTTTTGCAGAAAAAGCAAGTAGAGTCTGCCCTGCCTTCCATGTAGGCGTGCTCACGTAGAGCCACATATGAGGGCATAAGGAGCTCCAAGGAGCCTTCCCAGCACCCCATGCTGGAGCATCCTTCCAGTGAGAGTTGTTGCGATACCTCTGAGGTTCTGCCACCTTTCTGCACAAGAGTTGTGTTTGGGGAGAGAGGGGACTCAAAGACATCCTGAGAGGGACCATCACCCCAAATCTTTGCCTTCCCTACTCAGAATATTCTTAGGGAATATTTGAAGTAGTGTATTAATCTGTCTAAAATCCTTTCCGTACAGATTTCCTTTCTGGACAGTTTTCTCTTTGATCAAGACTTTCTTCCTCCTGCTAATAGCTCTTCATATGCAGTTACACACATGCACATTTCCACACAGCAAAATCAGGAAATTCCATTGTTTCTAAGTCCTTGGTTTGGTTGGAAGTCACTTTCCATGGATCTGTACTTACATATGTATCCAGAGACTGTGTGAGACTGAAGTTGCTTGTGTGTCGACATTGTTTCTAAATTTGCAAAGCAGGTTCTTGGATATGAGCACATTTGGGTGTCAGTTATGCTCCCTGACCTTGCAAAGTGTGAGCCATACACATAGAAAATAAGAAAGCCAAGCATGTGCCCTGGGCATCAGTCTGATGAGGGACATGGAGGGAAAGCTGGAGCTGAAAATGGGCAGGTAGTTTGAGGATTGATAGAGTTAATTAAGGAAAACTTCCCAAAGAGGATCACACTTGAGCAATGCTTTAAAAACAAGATGAATTTTTTGGTGTGAAACAGCAGGAAGAAGTTATTATAAACAGTGGGACAATGTTGAACAAAGACATGGGAGGAAAAGGGAAAGTAGAACAACCTAGGGGCTATAATGAAGTGAAGGTGTGAGTCAGGTGCAGCAAGATGAGGACAGACAGAATGGAGGGAGTTGTAGAGGCCAGAGTGCCAAATTACCTAGCATCTTTAAGGCAGTTTGAAGAGCAAGACCCAGAAAGCCCACAGAATAGGGCACAGAAGGACCATTCCTACAGCTTTGCAGGGATCTCCATGGTGCCCTTATTTTCTAAGATTGACAGCATTTCATTCCCTATATGTTTTTGAAAAGGAAAGCAGTAATATAATAAGAGCTAGTATTTATTGAGGATTTCATGTGAGTTATTCATTATCATGGAGTAGGTACTGTTAGCTCTATTTTACCAGCAGTACCGAGAGCTAAATGCTGCTTGTTGAAAGTCACATCATGGTACAAGCCAAACCTCAGCTCTTCCTTAGCAACCATGCTTCTGGGATCAGCTGCAGCTCCTGCTCCTGGGAACTGTTTAGAAATGCAAAGGCTCTGTCCTCATTCTAGACCCACTGAGCCCAAAACACAGGTGTGTCAGCAAGCCCTGCAGGGGACTGTGCTCTACACCAAAGCAGGAGAACCACGGCTCTAGATCTGTGCTACCCAAAGTGTGGCCCGCAGACCAGGAGGCATCTGACAGGTCTGGAGTTGGTAGAAATGGAGGAGCCCAGGCTGGGAAGGCCCTATCCCTGCCCCTAGTGCAATGGTTCATCAGTGGCCAGATCGCAGCTGTTTTTTGTTTTCTGTTTTTAAGGAACACCAGGATTTAGGATCTGATGGGCACTTCAATAAAAACGCATTCATAACTGGATTTCAGCATCTCATCTTGTGCATGAATATTCCATGCAGTGCTCAGAAAAAAATCACCAAGGAGACAAACCTGAGCGAGTGCTTTCTGTTATGCTTTTTCCTTTTGGTTGCAGTTGATCCAGCCCTTCCTTCCTGCTGCTTTTTTTAGTCTTTTATCCGTACCCCCTTACCTGATGCACTGGTGAATGTGCCTGCCTTGCCCCCCAAAATTTTAATACAAAACATAGCAATAACAATAGCATTTTTATTTTTCTCTGCCCCTTCCTCCACCGTAAATCAAGACTAGCTCCAGAGAACTTTTCAGTCTTCCCCTTTGACACACAGGTACGCCAGGCTTCTGCCTTTAAGGAGCTGTGAGAAACTCCTAATTAGATAGATGACTTTGTGGCGAGTAAAACCAGGAAACAGGAGGTGCTGACTAAATTAAGAGGAGAAGGAAAGAAGAACCCATTCTGTGAAATGGAATGCCCCACTGGCTTTATGGCTATTGCTGTTGTAAGGTTTTACATTTAAGTACCTGAGGTTTAAAATTAAACGTCTAATATAATTTGGCGTTGCTAACATGAGCCCGGCATCTGCCCTTAGAGGAAATCCAGACAGCTCCGTTCAGGCTTTCAGATTGCTGTCTGCTGGCTTGCAAGCAGCACGGGGGATTGGATCCCTCTTCCACTAAGTACCCCATGCTGCTCGCGTAATTTTTTAAACGCAGAACATATTCATCCTAAGCTTCTGCATTGAAAAAGGCTCTTCCAGTAGGACATGAAAAATTAATTTTTTTACATTTTTTCTCACTCTCCTAAGTGTTTGACAGAAGTAATTTTTGCAGCAAGAGAGAATAAAAACTGGTGGCTGTAAATTCCTGTCCTGGAACCTCTTGTGTAGGTTCTTTATGGACTCAGAATTGATCTACATGTCAGATCCTGTTGTGGTTTAAACTGTTTATCACCGTAATGGCAGTAGTGGGCCCATGAACACCAACTTATAATCCTGGGTGAAAGAAATTGGTGTTTGCAGTCAATGAAGAGGCAGCTTAACGTTATTGATAGATTCAGAACAATTATCTCTGCAACAACGAGTGGCCGAGGGTTTTCCTGAATCTTATTGGAAGCCTGTAATTTTTTTTTATTAATCACTTTTTCTACAGGTAATTTTCTCTAGAAGTGTTAGCATTCCTGTGGGGAGCAAGGAGCCCTGGGAGGGGGGCCATTTGTAGCACACTTGGTTGTCATAGCTCACTTCAAAGCAAAATGTGCATTTACATGCATCACCCCAGTGTTGAGGGCCAAAGCTGGTGTCATGGTCCCAGGGAATTTGTCTGCTTGCTTTCCTGAGTGTCTGGGCAAACCTGACTGCTCCCTCCCCACCCCCTGCAAGTGCCAGCCTTGGCTGATGGCCTCAGCTCTGGCCGTTGCAATTGCCGTTGCCGTGGCAGCCACTGTCTCCTGCCTCCTGCCTGTCAGATTGTTCTGATAGCTCCACCCCATCCCCCGATTGCTTCAGTCCAACAGTTTATCTTCTGGCATGCAGACTGGCCATCACTGTTCCTGCTGCATTTCTTCACATGACTCTTAAGTGCTGCTCTGTGTACCTTCCCTTCACTCTGCCTCCACCAGGATAGTGCAGCCTTGTCAGCATCAAGCACAAGGGCCATAGTCATCTTTCAGTTTTCTCCATGGAAGATGTGCCTGACCAGGGGTGTGTGTGTGCCATTTCCTTCTAACCAGGTAATCGATCATATGTCTTCCTGCTGGGACCTAAAATTATTAGACAGTGCATCCTGAATTGGAAGCACTTTACTTTTTGATAATGTTAGATATTCTCCCCGTTAGAGAACGCTTCACGTGGCTGTCTTAATGATCTCAGCTCTCATGGCTGGCTCTCCTGCACTTCCTTTGATTTTTCCCTTCCCCTAGTGTTGGCCCAAGGAA